CTCATGAATATTTTCCCTAGAGCCAAGATCGTATATTGCGACAACGAACCATCGTTGAACTCGCACACCATTTTGACCATGCTAGAAAACCATTTCGGCGTTAGCATTTCAAATGCACCGCCCCTTTACAGTGTCTCAAACGGACAAGTGGAACGTTTCCACAGCACTCTGATAGAGCTTGCTAGATGTCTTAAAATTGATAAAGGTATTAGTGACACCGTTGAGTTAATTCTGCTGGCCACTGCCAGATATAACAAATCTATCCATTCGGTCATCGACAGGAAGCCAGCCGACGTGGTTCTAACACAATCGAATGACCCACAATACGAGGTACAGGATAAGATTAAACACGCCCAGGATAAACTCCGAAATAGGGAAAATGCTTTCCGTCAAACCAGGGTGTTCGAAGTTGGTAAAAAAGTCCTAGTGAAATCCAACAGACGACTAGTCAACAAAATCTCACCATTGTGTGAAGAGAAAACTGTGGAAGCGGACATGGGGACCACAGTCCTCATTAAGGGGAGGGTGGTCCAAAAGGACAACCTTAAGTAGGCCAAGCATAATCATGTTATCGCTCGCCTAATAATTTTTTTTTTTTTATTACTTTTATCCCTAGCCACTTGACGTAAGTTTTTTTATTACTATTATTTTTAATCGTGTTCATTATACATGCTTTTGTGGTGGGCTACCCCGTTTGAACAAACATTACAGTATATCCGAATTACAGGTTTACATCCATACCCCGGCTATTCCTTTTGACCATAACATCGGCACGCATCACGGACTACTTAAATACTAAATACATTCCCATCGTTGATGGTCGAATTTTGGTATGGGAGGAATTCGCATTAGTAAAACACTCAGCAAATCTCTCAGAATATAGGCGCGTGGTAGAAGAGACTGACGGAATGACCAACATGTTCCCCCAGTCGCACATGCAAAAACTCTTGAGCGTTGATGTCGCTCACCTGCGAGACCTGCTCGACTCATTGAGCATCCATCATAGGGTAGCCAGGAGTTTATACTTCCTAGGTACGGCGTTGAAAGTAGTGGCGGAAACGCCAGACGCTGAAGATTTTGAAAAAATTAAATTTAATGAATTTCAACTCATAAATGCAAACAATAGGCAAGTAAATATCAATGACAAAGTACATGACCAAATCAATAGAATTTCCACAACTGTCTATCGACTTTTGAGGTCGGCTAAAGAATCCCAAATTGATACGGGATACCTATTCGAGATGTTACTAACTCGAAATAGGATGATCGCAATGGAGCTGCAAAATGTAATGCTCGCAGTAGCTCTTGCTAAAGTTAATATCGTTAGGACTAGCATACTAGATCATGCAGACCTGGAAAGTGTGTGGATGGAAGAGCCCACCGAGACCGCGATTAAAGACGTTTTGTCCGTAGCATCCGTTAAAATCCTACAATCCGTTAAGATTTTACACTTTATTATTAAATTTCCTAAAATTAAGTCAGCCTTCAATAAGATTACTATTTTTCCCATGTCGCATCACGACACCATGCTCAGGCTGGAGGATAACGTAGTAGCGGAATGCGATGGATAGATCCACACGGTAAAGAATTGCTCCACAACACCAGGGGCTGCGTTTTGCAAGCTGGCGCTAAGATCATGCGCTCAAGAACTCCACGCTGGAGGCACGGCGCATTGCGAGATCCAGCAAAGTGACCTGCATTCCGTTACTTACATCGAAGATTGGATTGTCATTATAGCGACCGTCCGGCTCGTGTGAGTGTGGACAATGGCATTTATGTCCATATACGGGGTACATTCCTCATCACCTTTACCGAGAGTGCCACGGTCAACGAGACCCGATTTGTCAATCATGACACAGCCCAGAAAAGGGCTCCAGGAGTAGCCAGCTCACCTTCCTTGAATGTCACCATGGAGCGCAACGTTCTCAGTCTTCCATACCTTCACCGTTAGAGTGAACGTAACTTGGAACATATCAAAAAATTCGGGATGGAGGTCAACGACTATCGGTCATATCAGATGGAGCATTATGCAGCGCGTTGATCTGCATCGGTTTGACCTATCGGCGAGTCACCCAGGCCGGAAGAACTGCGGCCCAGCTAAAAGAGATGATTGACCAAATAGGGTCGGCCGAGGGCGGCCTCATTCCGGAGGGGGGAGTAGTTAACTAAGTCAACCAGTCGACGACAATGACCGATCGTCCAAGAGCTCGCTCCGGCCAAACTGCTGACACAGCGTCTGGACGGATGCCCATGCATAGCCGGCAAGCACAGCATATTTGCGTGGCCGCTATGAAGTCAAATTTTTTGTTAGCTGTAAGTCAGTTCCCTCTTGGCGTTCATTAAATAAAGAACAAAAGTTCTATGCTAAAACAACTCCGGCAACTGCCGTTAAATTTGTGTTCATTTAATCTTGACTGAGTCTCTAGGCCAGCAAGAAAAGAAGGACAGTTCTCCTTCCAGCATAAGAGGCCAGGCTGGCAGCGCAATGCAGGGAGACTAGCTCGTGTGAACCTTTGTCGAAGGCTAAGATCTCAGAACGCTTCACCATAATCTGTTCTTTAATCTTCTGCTGGCTCCACCAAAAGGTCAAGCTGCTCAGTCAAATGGGAATGTACCGGCGCAAACACAAAAAACAACTAATCTTGCAGTTTTTAGGTTTGTATTCAGAAGCGGTCACTTATGTTAATGAGCATCTGTTGAAATAATGATCTTTTAATCTTGTCTTCGAAGAGTCTATGCTTATAAAAAAAGCATAAAGTTCTCTCGGCTGTCTTTACTATACGGTTCCTTGTGCATGTACGCTTTACTCGATGAGAAGGTGTCTATTGCATCAAGAGTATGGTGGAACTGTTGTCACTTACGTCCGACTCACCAACTCTCTGACCCACCAACTACGTATTTCACTATTGGCACTTCAAATAGGTTTCACTCTTAAGCGAAATAGTATTCTTTTTTTTAAGATAGGTTTAAAAATAATTTACTACGAGAAACTAGTTACTAACGTTTTGAATATTTAGATTGCGCCCCTAATAATCATTGATAACAACAATGCAGGATGAGGACGTAAATTCCATAGCTAGTGCAATGATAAAAACAATAAGTAGATATAAAAATGGTCTCAAAATCGTTCATATAAATGCACAAAGTCTGTTAAAGAACATTCATGAGTTTACATTTCTTTTTACTCAATCTAGTATTGATGTGATCTGCGTACATGATTTATGTTATTTGTCTATTGCTTGTAATGGCTTTAATGTGTTTCGTTCCGATCGTATTGAGCATGCCCGAGGTGTTGCTATATATGCCAAAACGAAGATTATATGTAAAGTGGTACTCAAACAAACAAGTGAAAGTACTATTGAATATATTCTCCTAGAATTCGCCAGTATATCCCATGAAAGAACCCTGTTGGGTATATACACACTAATCGTTCAATTGACTACAAGTCATATATAAATGCTATTACAGACAATTCAATTAAGTGCATAACATCATATTGGTAGGCGATTTCAATATCAGAAAACCATATCAGCATCAACTATTATACACTACTTGAAATACTTTTTATTAATGACCTTAGCACAATTACACATTATGACCAGGTTTCTGTACCAGCTTTCTCTTTACATGACTTTATGTTTTTAACATGGGACTTGGCCTTAGATTACAAAAGCAATAATTTTACGTATAGAGACTTTAAAAATATAGATTATAATAAACTAAAGATGGAAATTTTTGTTGTGATTGGTCATGTATTTATCGTTTTCGTCATGTAGATTGCCAGTTAAATGTTTTGAACAACAATGTCCAGTATTTGTTTAAAAAGTTTGTGCCCTTAAGAACCAAAGTGATTCAACCAACGCAAAGTCCGTGGTGTTAATTAGCTCCGGTGGAAGCTATACAAAATGCAAGAATTTCGTATTAAATATAAGGAGGCTAGGTTAAAGGCTATCAAAAAGATAAAATCAGCAAAGAGAGAACATTACAATATACAATTTAAAAACTGTGTTTTCTCAAAAAACCGCTGAAATAAGCTAATAGGGTTAGGAAAATGTTATCAGCAGAGAAGGTCTGAGGTGGACGTTGAAATACTAAACCAAAACTTTTTAGAAATAGGGGTACCTGATGCAACATTTAATATTTACCTGAATACTCAACCCCTCTGTGATACTAGTTCTACCCTTATGTGTATAAACCAAAGTGATGTCCCAGCTGGTATTCTGCATGCTGTAGGTCTTGATAATATAAGTCCAAAATTTGATAAACTTTTTTCTTGCCTTATATTACTCATATTTTTATAAAAATGAAAAAACGCTAAAATTCTTCCAATTCCTAAGCCGAATAATGAATGTATCTATGCCTATATCAATTTTACCTTTCCTCTCATATACATTTTTGCTTTAGCGTTAGCTTTTAATTTAATTGGCCTTTATGTGTTTAACTTAAGACGTTTTGACCATGTACCAAATCTGACATATAATATAGTTGATCTTAAGTTGAACACGTGGATCGATCTTAGAACTTTCATGCTCTTTTATAAAATAGTGACGACCGGAGAACCAACTTATCGTTCCAATAAAGTTACATCACAAAGAACCAAAAATTATATAAGCCTTAGAATACAAACGCTATGCTCGAAAAGGCCATTTTTTGTAATGGTGTTAGGTCATGGAACAATCTTCCCCATCAATACAAAACAATTGGGAGCGCAACTCAATTTTATAATAAAATTAACCCTCTACTACATGAGCATAGAAATAATAAAGGAAAACATTTTTTGAATGTAATTATGTGTTTACTAAGGCCAAAATAATATATATTTGGACTTTTTTTTTTTGGGGGCATAGTTTGGGATGGGGGAAATGGGGCCATATATGGCTTTGTATGCATTCGGCTGATTCCAGAGTTTGCCATGTATGGCTCTGTATGCATGTATACATTACTTCATGTGAAAGTTGGTGAAACAGTTTCTTTTGTCGTTGTAGCATAGAAATACATACCATTTCTCACAAAAGGTGTATGAGCGGAAAGAACAATCGTTTTTGCAGAGTTGCCTTTGCTTTTTCCAGGTGGGAAAATGCCCAATATGGTCCTCCCGAACAGAATTCAATGGATTTTCCTGGCGCTTTCGTCTTTTGCTGGTAGTAGGAGTACCTTCCCTACTTGTACACGGGGATGAAGTTGGAGTCATCGCAGGTCGTCCGCGCTTCTTTACTTTTCCTGCCTTGCACAGGTGCTCAGCTATTAAAAGCTTGAAATCGAAGAGTGGCATATATTGATCTGACTTACGACGCCATAGAATCCATGAATTCACTACGCACATATCAATAATGTGAAAAAATATTTTCTTATACCATTTTCTTGAGCGCAATTGAATTCTATAAACTCCAAGAAAAGAATCCAGTAAGTCAACGCCACCCATATAATTATTGTAAACATCAACTGCCTTAGGAGAGTTGATTTCTACATACTTTTTGTCTTTCTTACTGAATCGTTTTTTTGTTGTAACAGGATTGCTTCCCACGTAACTAGAAAGAATGTTGACTACTTTATTGTCAAACCAAGAGGCCAAGCTGAACTCCATCGATCATAGCTACTTTTTCGACCACGCTTCCACGTCCTTGGCTTTTCAACTCTTTTTCAGTTGGCATCTTTGAATTGGGTACTCGATTAATTCTTACCGTACCTAAAGCTAATATACCATTTTTCATAAGGTAGACTTCAAGATTTGGACTATTGAACCAATTGTCGAAAAATAATTTGTAGTGTTTTCCTTTTGGTACGGTTGCCGATAGCCTAGATACAATATTTTCGCTTACTCCCAAATTAGGCGCTCCCTCCGGATATGTATCACAAAAATATTAAAGTCGTAGCTAAGACCTGATACTCCACTCAAGACAAAATTTTTGAAGCCCCAAATGTGAGGTTTTGCGGGATTATATTGTTTTAAGTGGTGACGGCACTTCGTGGGAATAATTTGCTCGTCAACCACCAAATATTCTTCCTTAGGTACGAGCAGTAATTGATTACGGATTTTGTCCAGCACCGGGCGAATCTTGTCAAACCCGGTTTCCCCTGCCAACTTCATATCGTTATTATTATCGGTATTATTGTTAAAGTGCAACTCATCGGTTGCAATTCATTGTGCCATGTATAATTTCTTGACCAAGAGCCGAATTCCAATAGATAGATTCCAGTAATACTAGCGGGCTTATTTATATCAACTTGGAGTGCATATAGATTTGACTGATCAACCAAGAAATTCATCAGATCGTCGTTGAAAAAAAAATTAAAAAAGTCTGCCGGTGTCTCCAGTTCATTGATACAAGTTGAATGATTGGTATTTCCTTGAAATGGAAAGGTCTCATCCAAATACGGTGGTAAGTGACCAGCTTTCCATATCGGTGCTTTTGTATTTTTTCTTGGCACTGGCTTTGGCTTTGCTTTAGAAGTGCACGGCTTTTCACAGATCTCATCGGAACTACTTTCATCGGTCTCCGAAATATAAAGATCTTCCTCTTGGATTTTTTGATTTTCAACAACTTTGTCTTCGGAATCGGCTATGCTGTCATCATCACTTAGAAACGGATCATCGATTTCGTTCACGTATTGCAAACTACCGTAAAATAATTGTGCATTCATTTCTAAAAGAAAACAAGTGCAATTGTTAAGCTAATATGCTAATAATCCGTATGTACATAGAATAAAAACATGCAAGTTATCCAGCTCATGATTCCAGCCTCTTTACCCAATTTATAAACAAACTCTTCATATACAATTCTTAGCTGAGAACGCTTTCCAGCTCGAGCGCCCAGCCGCCTTACCCAAGTCGTAAACAATTTCTTATAAACAATTCTTAGCTGGGATCCCCTTACTCAGCGTTCCCACAGAATCTCAATTAGCTCCCCCACTTTAATCGAAGTTCATTATTAAGATTCAATTGCGCCGCAGTCCTCCTAACATAAACTAAGCTGGGTCCAGCTAATGTAAACACAAGCATCCGGTCAACACCCGGCGAGCCCCAAAACTGCAGCGTAATCCGTTTGGCAATTGAGCAGAGAATTAGATCATCCGATTTCCCGACTTTCTTGAGTCCAACCCTTGTCCAACTCTTAATGAGTTCCCCAATTCTCTTAAACCGAGGTTTGATTATCAGATAAGCGGCCCTTGGCCAGGCAGTCCGTTTTTGCATCCGAGAAGATCGGTTGTATAAGAAGTTAATTGTGAACCGCCAAGAATAAAAGTCGATACTAAGGAAATGTTGTGAAGTTTAAACTTAGTGAATAAAAAATAAAAATAAATTTTTTAATATAATTCACAAGTGAAGTTATTAGTTGGCGCCCAACGAGTGGCCACGCCTAATTTGTTCTAAATAAGGCTTTAAAATATATAACCAACGGTTTTAAAGTGAAAAGGAACTTGCGTGGTCTAATAAAAACCCAACCGACAAAAAAGTTTGTGTTAAAAATAAAAGGACGAAATTAATAAATGAAATAATCCCCTTTTACTTACAACAATCTACTAATTAGTAATCGACATAATAAACCTTCGGCTTAACAAAAAACTAAACGGTCTCAAAAAATAAAACCAAACAATTTACAAAGTTAAACAAAAAATCTAAAAACTGTGAAAGTGAAAGCTGATACAAAAAATTTAAAAACTGTGAAAGTGAAAGATGATACAAAAAACAACTGAGAAACAAAATTCAAAAACAATTATAAATTCAAGTACCAAATCCAACAAGAAGGAAGAGCTGAGGGCAATCCCTCGCTAAACAGCGACGACCAGAAACCAAATTGAAGGAAGAGCTGAGGGCAATCCTACGCTAAAAATTAACGACCGAAAAATAAATTAAAGGAAGAGCTTAGGGCCATCCCTGGCTAAAAACAACCTAGAAGGACGACGCCAGCAGGATCATCAAAGAAAAACAGACGATATCACACTAAATCCAGAAGAAAAGAAAACAATTAGTGAGCGTATACTGTATATTTTTATACCCGTTACTCGTAGAGTAAAAGATTCGTCGGAAAGTATGTAACAGGCAGAAGGAAGCGTTTCCGACCCCACAAAGTATATATATTCTTGATCAGGATCACTAGCCGAGTCGATCTAGCCATGTCCGTCTGTCCGTCTGTCCGTCTGTCCGTCTGTCTGTCCGTCCGGATGAACGCTGAGATCTCGGAAACTATGGGAGCTAGGCTATTGAGATTTGGCGTGCAGATTCCTGAGCTTCTTACGCAGCGCAAGTTTGTTTCGGCACAGTGCCACGCCCACTCTAACGCCCACAAACCGCCCAAAACTGTGGCTCCTACAGTTTTGATGCTAGAATAAAAATTTTAACTGAAATGTATTGTTCTCATCAATACCTATCGATTGACCCAAAAAAAAGTTTGCCACGCCCACTTTAACGCCCACAAACCGCGAAAACCTGTGACGCCCACAATTTTCATGCTAGATAAAAAATTTTAACTGAAATGTATTGGTCTCGTCGATACCTATCGATTGATCCAAAAAAATTTGCCACGCCCACTCTAACGCCCATAACGCTTAAATCTGTATACCGCCGGTAGGTGGCGCGTTTTAATCTCGCTTTGCTGCTTGCATATCTCCATAAAGCTGAGTAACGGGTATCTGATAGTCGAGGTACTCGACTATAGCGTTCTTCCTTGTTTATATTCTATTTAAGTACTATAAGCAGAAAAATTTAAATAAAATCAAACAAGGTGGAAGACCTCATTAACGACCAACATCACCATGCCCCTATCACAACCTACAATGGCTTCTAGCAGCCAAGCTCATAACCAAGTGAGCGAATTAATTGCACATATTGTAAATAATGAATTGAATCCCTTAAGGAATGAGATCGTGAGTTTAAAAGCACAACTAAATCAAAATATAAAAAAGGTTGAAGATTTTCAAGTAGAAGTCATTGACCCAAATATTAAATGTGAAACTTCCTTTGAAATTATCAAATCAGTCAGGGAATTTAAAGGAGAAGAAGACAAATATGTGAGTTGGAGGGAATCAGCAGAAATTGCCATGGGGCAATATGCTAGAGGTAGGGAAAGGTTCTTTTCTGCATTATCAATCTTGAGGAACAAAATAACTGGTACAGCAAACGATGCCCTAACACACAATGGAACAGTACTAAATTTTGACGCCATAATGGCAAGGTTGGACTTTATTTTTAGCGACAAACGTCCAATCCATATAATTGAGCAAGTCTTAGGAGTACTAAGGAACTAATGGAATATTATGGGTTAGTTAATAAAAAACTAACTCTTCTAATAAATAAAACCATTATGACTTACGGCAGAAATAAGCCTTTAACTGCTGAAATGAACGAAAAACACAAAAAGACAGCTCTAAGAGTATTCATAACTGGCCTCAACGGCCATATCTCAGACGTCATATTTTCTATGAATCCCCCAGACTTACCGAACGCTATGGTAATAGTACAAGAACTAGAAAGCAATAATTTGAGGGCCCAATTCGCTAACAATTTCACATCATCACAGCGCAGGAGTTATGAGCCAAATTTATACGGGTACCAAAACTCAAATAATAGACCCAAGCAAAGTAATCAAAGGAATACAAACAACTTGAGGTTTAATCAACCCGATATCCAGAATAGAAACAATTATAATCAAAATAAAAATCTTAATTGGAATCAGGGCAGACAGTATAATCAACAATATAATTCCCATAATCAATGGAATTCCAAAAAAGCTCAGCAAAGCAAGCCAGAACCGATGGACGTAGATGAATCCTTACAGATTCAGAATAGGCCAAAGTACAATCAGGGTTATAACAATTATAGTAACAACAACTATAATCAGAATAAATGGAATCAGAATAAAAAGCCAGAGACACAAACAACTCAGCAAAATAATCCTCAGAACAAAAGAGAACCAACAGGTACGGTTAACCAACCGGCAAACAAAACTATGCGATTAAATAATATCGAAGAGGACCATTTTTTAGGCCAGAATCCGGAGTAGGACTACCCTACTTAATCCGATATGATAGCAAGATAAATAAAAAGCTTAAAATCTTAATTGACACAGGAGCAACCTCCTGCTATATCAAAACAGGAATTTATAAAAACAAAAACGAGCTTCCTATTTATAAAAGAGTATCTACGGTTAATGGATATTCTATAATTAAACATTATCGCATGGTAACGATCTTTGACACGCGTTACACATTTTATGAAATAGACGGGTTAAAATCAGATTTTCTAATAGGTTACAAGCTATTAAAAACAAGGAAGAACGCTATAGTCGAGTACCTCGACTATCAGATACCCGTTACTCAGCTAAATAGAGATATGCAAGCAGCAAAGCGAGATTAAAATGCGCCACCTACCGGCGGTATACAGATTTAAGCGTTATGGGCGTTAGAGTGGGGGTGACAATTTTTTTTGGATCAATCGATAGGTATTGACAAGATAAATACATTTCACAATACATTTTTTATCTAGCATAAAAATTGTGGGCGTCACAGGTTTTCGCGGTTTGTGGGCGTTAAAAAGGGCGTGGCACTCTACTGAAACAAACTTGCGCTGCGTAAGAAGCTCAGGAATCTGCATACCAAATCTCAATAGCATTGCTCCCATAGTTTCCGAGATCTCAGCGTTCATCCGGACGGACAGACAGACGGACAGACGGACATGGCTAGATCGACTCGGCTAGTGATCCTGATCAAGAATATATATACTTTGTGGGGTCGGAAACGCTTCCTTCTGCCTGTTACATACTTTCCGACGAATCTAGTATACCCTTTTGCTCTACGAGTAACGGGTATAAAAATAGGAGCTGTAATAGACACAGAAAAAGGAGTAATAAAATATGGGGGAAAAGAAGAAAAATTAATTTATGATAATGACAGTTCTTTTAACCAACTTTCCTTATCTGAAGAAAAAACAATTCTTCCATTAAAGGAATTTATTATACGAAAACACTTTGATGAAAAAGCCAAAATCAGAACTGAGTCTGAAGAGGCAAATCAAAGCAAAACAAGTTTGGGATTAAAATATCCTGAACACACCGTCGTTGAAGTATCCGACAAAAATTCTAGTTTGGGATTCAAAAATCCTGAGCGCGCCGTCGTTGAAGTATCCGACAAAAATTCAAGTTTGGGATTAAAGAATCCTGAACAAGCCGTCATTGATTTATCCGACAACAATGAAATAAACAATATGAGTGAATCAATTCCAAACCAAAGAATGGATTTGGAAAATGAGATAATAAATATTATCAATATAGAGCACTCGAAGATAAACATGCAAATCCCTTTCAGGACTGATATTCGCGGTGAAATAAACACCGAAAACGATGGAGCTATTTATAGCAAACAGTGTCCCTATGCTCTATCGGCTTCAGATTTCGTAAACTCTGAAGTTAATCGGATGTTAAAAGAAGGAATTATAAGACCAAGCAAAAGCCCTTATAATTCTTCAGTTTTAGTGGTACCAAAAAAAAGGATTTAATGAAGATGGTACTGCAAAAATAAGATTAGCTATAGACTATATAGCTACAGACATCCAATGCAAGATCCTTCAGTGATTTTGTCAAATCTTGGAAAGGCTAAACACTTTTCCACGATCGACTTGGAGTCTGGGTTTCACCAGATTCTAATGAAAGAAACATTAAAACAACCTCATTTTCTGTAAATAACGGAAAATATGAATTCTTGAGAATGCCATTTGGGCTAACG